ATTGGGTAAACCGTATTAATTGCTATATGGTAGTTTCCCAAAATGGGGGGACCCCGATATAGACCCAAACTACTACAGTCCTTATTATTTATTATGGGGACCCCAAAGAGGTACCCCCAACTTTGGGAAACCCCCATACATCCAATCTTCAACGCTAATGATGCAGAAGCTTGAGGTCCTAGCGTTATTCCCTTACAAACAGAATTTTAGGCACTTGCCTACCAATCTAATCATGTAGGCCCCTACATTGCAGTCCCCGTGAGGCCCCACGTCAGACGCAGCTACCAGGTCATGATCAACCCTAAACCTTCTCAAGCCTATAGTCCCCCTTAAGTAGGTAGAATATGGCTTTGGGTATATTATAGGGTTCAGGGCTTAGGGTTTAGGGGGTTTAGGGATTAGGGTTTAGAGTTTAGGGTTTGGAGATAGAATATGGCTTTGGGTATATTGCAACAAAATCCCCATATACCCGATATTCTATCTACTGAAGGGGGATTATAAACCGACAGATTCCATTTTGTTTTTGTTTTTCCGGTTAGGGCTCTATGGTCCTTAGTACCCACACTCCGAGTACGCAAATCGCGATTCTCTGAATGGATCTGAGGATGTACCGCCCCAATCTTTGGGAACTTGGACCTTACATTACGTAACTCCAAACCACAGATCCTGAACGTCAGGGTCGCAAGCCACTGGTCGTGGAGTTCCCCCAGATGATCTGGAAGGGCGACGACATTTGCGTTCCTTAGCTCAGGAGCATCTTAAACGGGGTTGTGCGGGCCGCACATAGAGTAAGAGTGCATCCGCCTCTTTTTGGCGCAATTAGTGTCTTACGAACAGAACATAAGTTGATTAACTTGGTTCAACGAGTCCCTAACATGGTTGCCGCCTTGACTCTGGGGCTCGAAAGTACGTGGTAACATGCTTCGGGGTGTAGGGTACTACGGTGGATACTAAAAGCCCTGCATTACCCAAAGTACTTTATACCTTGGGAATTGTAGGACGATTGCCTACTAAGGTCAAGCAGGATCTCTAGCATCAACTGTAGAAAGGTAGTATGGTTCGCAAAAGCGATTTTGCACTCGATTTCCAGCGAATCACAGCTTAGAAGAGTCCCAGCACCCAAACAGCAGATCCATAGGGTCTAGGGTTTAGGGGTTTTAGGGTTTAGGGGTTTGGGGCTTGGGGTTTGGGGTATAGTATTGAAGGTTCTCTTCTGGAGGTTCCCCCTAAACCCTGAGCCGTAAACCCTAAATCTCCCCATACAAAAAAAACGCAACCCTAAATCCCAACCCACATCATCTTGGAGTCTCCAGGGGGAGACCCTCAGCTTAAGAGATATTAAAAAGGAGACGGCTGGTCCGTGCAAAGCCGCAGGAGATATCCTACAATCTCGTATATTCAAAGCCATAGATGATTTGCGTGTGTCGTAATATAGCTACCTGGCCCCTATGTTTAAGACTTTGCTGGGTGAAGGCTAGGTTAGAGGGTGGGTGGTTTTTATGGTATTTGTCAATATATGAGCTAGCGTCTAATCTCCTTAAAGGGTGTCATATAAGGAATTCTATCAGGGACTACTATAGGACTTCTTAAGGGGGATACTAGGAGTTTAGACTCTGGCCCGTATAAGTTTGCGGAGCATGCTCAAATCTTCTTTGCAGGTGTTGCTGGCTGTATGCTTGGAGGGTTTTTTCGGCTGGCAATGACTTGAAGCATTTGTTGTTTGGCTTTTCGCAGGTTTTTGAATTCAAAGCCAAGGATCATTTTTCCAAGCAGTAGGTGCTTTAACGCCAAATTTTAGAAGCAGAAGTTGCGCTACATCCTAAACCCTAAACTCTCAACCCTAAATCTAGTCTTCGTCTTGAGCCCTTCTGATCCGCAAGTGTGTAAAACAATATAGAATAAGGTATTGGTTTACAATTTTGGGGGGGGTGGTTGAGAGCCTTGCCGACTTTATAAGGCTTTCGGTTTAGTCTGTCTCCCAAACCCTAGAATTAGAGCCTTTAAACCCTAAACCCCAATGTCACAGGTGCTGCAGAAGCCTGCGGATTGGATCTGTTCCGTACGAGCCCCGGTGTGCGGGCATGTAAGCCACGCGTTTGCCCTAGCGGCTAAGTATACAATAGTCAATATCCTTTGGGATTTTTATACCATAAATGATCATTCACAGTACCCTAAGCCCTAAACCGTTTTGGAAGTATATGATGTTCGTGCACTTCGGACACTTCGGGTAAGGGGTGGGTCCAGGGTTCGGGTTTAAGGTGCGTGTCAAGTGGTTTGGGCTTTTCGGGTGGAAAGAGGGAACGTCACAAAGCTCAAGCTTTTCCCTGACCGGTGCATATAGGGAGAAAAACAGGGCCAGAAACACATTTGTATTGGCGTGCAAGGATTTGTGAAAGTGCTCCTTTGAGAGTCTTTCCCCGGCCAAGAGATACATTGTGATCTTGCCTAACTCACATGCCTCCCTCGTGATTATTTCCGAAGGGACAAATCTCTGCATGACCCGGAGGAAAACAGACTGCCATGGGGTCATGTGGCAATTTGTGCCTCGACTCTGTGTAGGCCCCTGGGATATCTAATATTTTCCCTAATGGCTTTAGTAAGGGACCCTATATACTAATATTTTTCAAGGGGTTTTAGGCGCCAACCCAGGACTGTATTTCCAAAGATGAGGGTGACAAGTCTCCACATCGTTTCTTGGGTTGTAAGGTTTATAGGCCAACGTCCTCTGGTGCAATGAATTCAGGGCCCCGACTTGTGTAAGAGCTATAGACAGTCCAACACTATATCACCCAGCTGAATCAAATTAAGACTTGCATATGGGTGGTTGTAATTATGGTCCCTTTTTGGATCCCTATGAAAAAAAAGGGCACCTAATATTTAGGGTACCCCAAAAAAGAGACCATGACCATAATTTTGACAACCACCCATATGTCTCAAGATGGGATTTTCTCAAGGCAGCAGTCCCATACGCTGTAGAAGCCTGAAGAAACACCAGCAATGTCCCCCTTATTTAAGGCAACTTAGGCCCCTATATCACCTTGCTTGTCAGCATGATCCTTCAGGGCACCATGTCTTCCGAGGGTCCTTGAGGGTTCTTTACCCTCATTTTGAAAAACTTCTAGGTCGTAGATCCTGGGTCATTCGCTGTTTACCTCCATTCCCTATGCCCTACACCGTGTTGCTCCACATCTATGAACAATACCTACAGGGTCCTAAAGTCTATAAGTGGTGCCTACTTTAGGCTGTTAGAAGCCTTACGAAGCCTTAGATCCTGTCACTTAATTCAGGCAGCCCAAATTCCTGGAGCAGCCACACTAAACCCTAAACCCTGCATCGTGCGTTTGGGAGTCCTCTGGGCTTCGTCAGTTACATGAGTATACTTATGAGTCCTAGAACTGCCGTTCACGAAGGTAACTACACTTATCCCCACTTATCCCACAACTTGCACGCGCCTTCCCGTATAGTCCCTGATACTCACTTGCGTAGATCCACCTAGCCCAAAGGAACGAGGCAGCATGTGGCAAGCGAAGTGGTCTCAAATGCTACCAGTATTTCTACATGGTACATCCAAATCCCTAAGCAGTCATCGTCTCCTTTTTTCTATGCTGGGTGCTCGCAACCCTGTCATGGGAGTCGCGAACAACCGGCGGTTTTCTGCTTGAAAGTGACATTTTTGATTGAAGGTGTTCGGAAACCACAGACCCTAAACCCTAGACAACTAAACCCTGGCCCCTAAACCCTGAAAGGGCTCAAGCCCTCTCCTAGACCCCTAAACCCTAACCCT